ACAATGAATCATGGAACACTTCATCTAAAACTAATGATGTAATGTATGGGGATTAACATAAGAATAAAAAATAAAAATAAAAAAAAAAGAAAATGCAAGTTTGCCTCAGCTGTTCTAAGGAAAACCCAATAAATGTCTTCGGGCCCATCTGGCCCGGGGTCAATAGGGTTCAAAGTGAGTGCCCCAGGAGGAAGGGAAACACTGGGGACAGAGTGAGGAAGCCACCCAGGGCACCATCCTTCCACATTGCTCCTGGAGGACTGCAGTATCCTTCTAGGCAGAATGCTTCTCCGGGTCATAGGAAGGGCAGCTCGTCTGGATCCCTGGGAGACCCCTGCTCCTCTCTGGCCTTCAGCTCCCCTTCTGCAGTCCTTGAGTTCCTGCCCAGCGCACCAAGGACTCAGTGCTGCCCTCCATCCAGGTCAGGCTCCTGGCTCAGCTCGGGCTTCCTCCCACGGCTTTCCTCAGCCCCAAGTACCCTTCCCTGGCTTTGGAACCTGGGGTGACAGTTACCTAAGCAGGACAGGACTCCAGCTAAGGGCAGGAGCCTCAGAGTCACAGGGCTGGTTCATAGCCCTCTTCCAGGACCAAAGCCATGTTGCCCACCTCTATTCCTTTGCTCTGCTCAGTATGCCTGTGGTCAGTGTCAAGCCATCTGGGTTAACCCATCTGTTGTCCCCCAGGCACAAGGTGTATACCTGGCATGAATTTGGGGGTTTTTTTGGAGGGGAGGGCGGGGGGCAGAGGGGTAGTGGTTAGCCCTTCTATCCACAGGGGAAGTCACTGACTAGTAACGGCTTTTAGGACAAATTCCTAAAATACTCGTGCAGACCCAATCCGCATTTTCTACTCCAATCTCCTAATTGTATCCTGGAAAACAAGAAATTTTCTAATCTGGGCTGGGGGAGGGTGAGGCAGAGCCTTCAAGGCTTTTCAAAGGGCTACTTAGAGGCCAGTAAGGTCCCGAACATGCACCACCTGAACCCCATGTGCCCCCAACCCTGGCCACCTCAGAAGAATGAGCACATATGCCCTCCCCACTGGCGGGACAGAAGAGGATGGAACTGGTTCTCCACTTACCATCTCAGCCACAGGCCTCCAGACCTCAGGTACAGGGTCTGATGAGGGCACCAAGTCCTATCTCCCCAATTCCCTTTGGAGTTTTAATCCAAGCCCAACCCTCTCATATCACAGACAGGGACACTCTCCCTCTGGTACAAGTCCTCAGGAATGGAGGCCAAAGCCTAGGAGTCACCCGTGCCCCGGGAGGGAGGCACCCAGGAGCAATGCGGATGTTGGGGTGGGAGATGGAGAACATGTCAGGTGGAGGGAGGTGCCCTGGGGGACAACAGGTTGGATGGATACCATCTCCCTGGTATGTCTCCAGCCTGCTTTCCTTTTCTGAAAACTCCCCAGCTGCTCTCAAAGCAAGGGTGTGCTGCCTGGGCCCTGCAAGGGGCTTCCTCATGCCTCTCTGCCCTCCATGGCCCCTTGCTCCATACCTCCCTTCTTGTTGCCAACTCTTTGACCCTGGTAGAGCCACTCCTAGGGACTCCCCACTTCTCCACCCTCTGCCATGGGGAGGAGCGGGCCAAGTCTGGGCCAGCCCAACCTCAGCCTGAGATTTGGAACTGCCAAGTCAGACTGGAGGCTGGGGACTGAGCACGTTCTCATGGAGCCTCACCCCCAGGGCACAAACATGCACTGTGTGCTGAACGCCAGGCACCTTCCATCTGGTACCATCTCTTCCCGCGTTTGTGGGCCAGGGTGGCTCTATGGGCAAGTGGGGCTCCGTGTACCACTTCCTCCGTCTTCTCTTCACTGGCCCCTTCTCATCTACTGCACCATCATGTCCACCCACCCTCTCAGCCGCTGGGCTCACTTGCCCGGCCCCCATTCCCCCAAATGGTTCCCATAGCTTCTTTGCAGTGCTGTCTTTCCCCTTGAGGAGCCCTAGAGTAGACACCAGTCACAGTTTGGGCCCACTCCTGACCTGCCCGGGATCCTCCTTGCCCCCTCCCTGACAAGCTGGGCCATCCCGCCCTTCACAAAGCCCTCTCTACAGGGAGTCTGGATGTCTCTCCTCATGGGAGAGAAGCAGGGACTCAGGCTGCCTCCACACTCCCGCTGCATGGAAGGCCTTCCTGGTCCTAACGTTGATCCCGACATAGTTCTCCATCTGTGAAATGGGAACAGTGATTCTGGCTCTCACCCAGCTCCAGGGCTTGGAGATGGGAACAACTGAGATGCCAGAGTACTGAGTGAGGAAGGTAGTTTTTACATGGTGAGGGAGGGGGAGATGGAATGAAAAGGGATGGAAGAGGAGAGGAAGGCAAACTGTGATGAAGTGTAGGGTTTCCTACAGGTGGGGTCGGCGGCAGCACCCATGGTGGTATGCGGTGAGCTGGAGGCAGGATGAGTAAAGACCCCATCTCCTACATTTGGGTTCCAAACATCATTTTGGTCCCCTGGGTGAGCGGCACCATTTCGTGTGAGTTTGGAGCAGGCTTTCTCTTCTTTCTCCTAATATCCCCTGAGACAGCAAATGGCATCCATGAGTTTACTCTGGGGACTTCTGTGCAGGGGGAGAGCAGGAAAGGCTGGGCTGACGGCCCACAGCCACTCATCATCCAGCATTTACTGGGCTCCCACCAGGGGCCACACACGAAGCTACAGAGGCCAATGATCGGACTCTGACCTTGACCCCTCCAGGCCAAGCCTGGGAGAGGCTTGATCTACAAGTGGACCAAATGCAACCCAAGCCAGTGTAATCCCAGGTTTTGGACGTAGCAATGCATAGCTGGGGGCACAGAAGAGCTAACTGCCTAGTGTCAGCGAAGTGATGCATGCAAGCTCAATCCGGGAGGATAAGGAAAAGTAGCAAAGGGAACAGCATCTCTGGGACAGGGCACAGCACTGTGAGAAGAGCTGGCATGTAGGGAAGGCTGAGGTCACTGAAGCAAGAGAGGAGGTGGCCTAGGCACAAGGTTAGGAACAGGCAGGAAGGCAGGCTGAGCCAACTAGGCTCACCACATTTAGAATGTGACCCAAAAGACAGGGACTGGCCATCCACCGAGGGCTCCACAGCTGCAAAGTCCTGTGGCGGCAGGATCAAAACCAGCCCCTAGCAGGTGCACGGCAGTTGAGGTCACAAGGCAAGTAGCAGAATCTGTCAGGCTCCCTGTTAAGAATGTCTATTGAAAAAGTATGATGCCAGACACCTGGGTGGCTCAGTTGGTTAAGTGTCTGCTTTTCGCTCAGGAGTCCTGAATCGGGCTCCTGCTCGGCAGGGAGTCGGCTTCTCTCTCTCCCTCTGCCCTTCCCCCCGTGCTCATTCTAATAAATAAAAAAAGAAAAAGAATATGAGGCCTTTAGAACTAATGGTGGTGGTGAATGGTTTCTGCTTCTTGCATCCATTGATCCTGACAAAAACATGCTTGAGAGAGATAAAAAGGTAATGAAAATGTTTCTGCAGTGTGTTTTGCTATGACATCCCTATATTCCTGAAATTTATGACCACTATCATTTGAACAATCTAAACTTCGTCTCTCACCTCATCTGACTCCCCCCAAGTCAGTGAAACCAGAGTTGGAAGGGAAAGAATGCACCCGGTCTCTCCAAAGGATGGTATCAAGATGAGCTCACACGCACTAGGATACTCCCAAGTAGTCTACCAGAACTATGACTTCCACCCATAAAGGGTCCCAATGCTAAATGGAGGGACCTGGAATTCAAGGGAAGGAAGGTCCTCGTGGATACAAGTTCACAAATAATCTGGACGTTGGAATCCCTTCATCTCCAAGTCTTTATTTATCGGAGCAGGTAGAAAAAGTACAGGATGTGCAAGGGATTTCAACCTCTCAGGACCAAGGGCAAGAGACCCCGCTACTGACACAGGCCCAGCCACGAGCCCCACCAGGGCGGCAGCAATCACTTCAGGCTCGCTGGGAAGTGAACGGGGAAGGGTCTCATGAAGGCTTTCATCTCACCTCCTGGGCTAATGTCCACTCCCGTGTCCCATCTCAGAACCCCAGCACAATGCAGAGAACGGACAGTGGCAGCAGACTGCCTGGTTCTAGTCCTACCTCTGCCACTTCCCTGTTTGACTTCTCAGTGCCTCCGTTTCCTTGCCTGTAAAGAGGGAATTACAGTATCCACCTCACGGCACCAGCATCAGCAAGACGATCACTGGCATTACAACAGTATCTTGGCTTTTATTTCCTGTGCCACTTCACCGAGTGGCTATCAGAATAAACAAGAGAAGTCAGTTTAAAACAAGTTGAAGAAATCCAAAGTTGTATTTATTTTTTTAATTGTTTTTACAGCTAACGTAAGAACAGAACCGTGACAGTGGCTCGGCTTTATAACCCACCCAGCCCAAGACTGTTCTGGTTGTGGGGCCAAGGACAGGTAGATCTTCCTCTGTCAGTGACCTCTTAAAAGCACAAGGACATCTTCCATAGGGCATCAACATGCACCCGTCATGTTGAATGTCAAGAATTTAGCTAAAGCCTTCTTGATCCTTCTACATTCTCAGCTGGTAGTATTGCCTTCTGAGGTTATGGACTCCAGGTCTGATACGTGATAGGTAGAGGAAAGCTTCCTTTCGCATTTCGAGAAGAGCGGGCGCAGAAGTGTGGAGTTGAAGAACATGACTCTATGGACTTCAACCACCTCCCCCTTTAGCCTGTCCCTCCAAGGTGAGAAAGAGTCCGTGTTCTCACAACTCCCCTTTTCAGGTTTGGCTTTCTTCAAGGTGTACAACCCAAGCCTCAGAAAGTTATCCATAGGAAGCATACTAGGGTTTGCACAAACACAGGACAATGCATTAGTTTTTCCTTTGGCCCCAGCATACACTGGGCCAGCATCTTTCAGGAGCAACCACTCCAGCACTGTCTAAGCTGTACTCCTAAGTCATGAGTGGGTTGTTCAGGACCCCCTGCCTGTCCTCAATGATTCCTAAAAGCTTCATATAGTCTCACACAGTCTTACTGTCCGCGGGTCTACTGGTGTATAATCCTACCTGTAAAGTTACCAAACCCCTGACCTAGGGATGCCTCTTTCAGATTTCGTATCTTCCTCAAACTTACTAAATCAATTTCCAAAAGCAGTTACCTACCAGCTAATTTGAGAACAAAGCCTAATTTTGTGCACATCACTGCTGAGACCAGCTCTGCAGGAGGTCAGGGAGGGAGGGCCTGGTGTTCAAGATACTCTCTCTTACATATCACACACGCCCCCCTCTCTGCCCACAACACCCCCTTCTGCCTTGTTTCAGACTCCTACACACTAGGTACTCCCTGTCAGACTGGCAGGTGAGGCTCCTGGACTAAAGACAGGTAGCCTGGTTTGGATATATGCTGCACCATGGGTCAAGACCCTGGACCACGGCCACAGCATGCTGTACACCCTCCTGCCTACAGATACTGAACAGAGTCAGCATCACCTCTGGGTTGCTCTATTTATTGTCACCTTGGCAGGAAACATTCTAGAGTATGGAAGGGCAGGGACATGATCTGGAGGGCAGGTATGACGTCAAATCTAAAACTACCTTGGCACACAAGTATTGTGAGGACGTAAGGGCAGGCTCAGAGCTCCATCTTCAGTGATCACTTCTCCAGAGCTCAGGCTGGTACCAAGAGCCCGCACAGTAAGAGTCAATGCCAATAACCTTCCCAATTCCAAGCAAGAAGACAAGAAGTTGCATGGAATAGAAATAGAAACACTAAAACATGGCCTTCATCATCTTGATGCCTAAGCATCCTGAGACGGCCAAGATGTTAACTTAGCTGGTTATCCCTGTTTCACCTCCATACACTGGAGATGGACATTTCAGGGGTTGGGCTTTCTCCCCTGTGACTTGGCAAATTCTTCTCACCTCATGTTGAATCAACAGTTCCTTAGGTAATAGGTGCAAAGCTTCATGCCCCAATCATTTTCTCCACAGGACTTACTGGAACATCCTTCAAACCACTTCATTTGTTCCATTCCTCTTCTTCGGCCTTTCTGGATTTTCTGGATACAGGAACTGCCCGAAGCAGGATGAAAAAAAGAAAGGGGCCAGCTTTCACCTCCTGGCAACAGCTGCTTCCCGCCATTTACAGTGGCCAAAGGGAATGAAAGATGACAGCCCAGTCCTCTTTACCCTATCATGGGTTTGAACTTAGGAGTTCCCAGGTCTCAGCAGGCTACCCATTATCTGATGTGGTTCTTAAGAGGGAGGAGTTGTATGGGACACGCTGTCCCATGGCTGCTCAGTGAAAGCAACAGTGATGTCCAAAACCAGCCCTCTGGCACTGCAAAACTGTCGATGGGCCAGGATGATCCCGGGGGCCTCAGCAAAAGGCTTTCAATCCTAACTCCCTAATAAGCCCCAGACCATATGGATGTCTCCTTCCCAACTTGGCATGGGGGTAGCACAGACTTCCAAAAGGAACTCCTTTATTAAATGCAGTGAGCAGTCCAACACAGCTACTTGGGTCAAGTCACAGTTAATGCTGGAGAAGAAATGCCTCCAATCCATGTACAGCCAGATCTGCTGAGGAACCTGGCGATTCCAGGAACCAGACCCATAGATGCCAGAGGACAACGTTCCCCTTGCTGGCATACCATATCACCTAGTCTAATGGTTTCACGAGACCCAGAAGCCCATTCTGAAAACAGGTGGCAGGGAGGCAAAAATGGTGATCTTAAGAGGTCTTCAGACAAGTGGACAGCTCAGCAGGACAGCACGTGTGCCCAGGGCTCACTGCATGGCAGCCATCACCAACCCGGTGAAGAAGATACATCACTCGGCATCTTCAGGGTGCTGGAGGCAGGCGCTATGGCAGGACAGGGAGTGAGCAAGAGTTAAAACTTTGCCAGGTTAACATACCCAACCCTCTGACCCCATCACCCCAACTCCTGAGACTTTATTACAAAGAAGTAATTCTCGATAGGGGAAAAAGCTGGATGTACAAGGGCATGTGTTCTAGCAGCCAAATGGTTACCAGAATGTGGACTCTGCAGAGACCCACCTCTACCACTTTATAGGGCAAGTGATGAATGCTCTCTGAGCCTCCTTTTCCCCATCTGTAAAACACACTGACAGCCCCTACTCTCCAGAGATGCTGTGAGATTAAATGAGACAATCTGCATTAAGTACCTCGAGTATAAGGAGTTCAACTACAAAGGTTAGCTCTTATTATTATGCATAACGGCAGGAAGAGAATGCAGGGAAAAGGAAAGCCTAAATTGTTAAGGGTGAGAGAGTTGAAGTTTTCCATGACTGTTCTGACAATATAGGTTTTTAGGTCTTACTCATTTTTCAGTTATGGAGGATGGATGCCACAAACCGTTGAGCCTTGCAGCTTAGGAAGAAAAAAGCAAGGTAGAAAGAGTTGGCCTTTTTTCACCAGGGGTTTCCCTACTTTTCTAGATTTCACCTTTGGAAAACTCCTAAGAGGTCTCTGAGAATGCAGAAAATAGGGGAAGGTGGAAGGCACAGGAGAGCGGATACGAAGAAGGGTTTGACAGTCAAAACTTAAAAGGATCTGCCTACATTTGCTCACCCTGCCCAAAAGCAAGGCTGTGCACAGAGGATTACTCTGTCCTGATTAGGAATACAACTGAGTGAGTGAGTCAGCTCTCCCAGGGGCCCCTGTGAGGGTTGCAGGGATGCCCCCTGGCTGGGCAGACGACTGGGCAGACCACAGTGTGGGTCAGAGAGGAGGCAACGAGTCTGTGACAACAGGCAACGAGTCCACTGATGCAGGACACAACACAGTCTCTGTCTCTCCTCTTCCTCTGACAGCTTTTCAGCTGTAAAGAGTACGTAAGAGTCCAGTTCCGTAAAAGAAACACACAGTAAATATTCATCAGTGCCAGAAACAGAACAGATAATTAAGTACTTGCATAGACCTTAGAGAAGTCTAGTCAGTGTTTACAATCTTTTTCTTTTTCATTCTATCCATAAATATCATGAGTAGGTAACCCAAAACTAAAAAAGGATTATTTTTTCCAATGTAAACACCATTATCACACATTAAAAAGTTAACAATTCCTTAATATCGGCAATTACCCTGTGTTTATATTTCCAACTGTCTCATAAACATCATAAATGGGTGGTTTGTTTCTCAACATTTAAAAATTCAACTTCCCAAAGTGACTGCCTGGCTCAGTTGGTAGAGCATGCAACTCTTGATCTCGGGATTGTAAATTCGAGCCCCACATTGGGTGTAGAGATTACTTAAAAATAAAATCTTAATAAAAATAAAAGTTCAGCTTCCCAAAGTCTTGAGGAGATTCTGAGACAGCCCCTAATCAATCCTACCACAATAATCACTAACTTAGGCCAACCTCCTCACTAGACCAGGTAAGAAAACCAAAACCGGGGCGCCTAGGTGGCTCAGTCGGTTAAGTGTCTGCCTTCAGCTCAGGTCATGGTCCCAGGGTCCTGGGACAGAGCCCCACATCGGGATCCCTGCTCCACGGGAAGCCTGCTTCTCCCTCTCCCACTCCCTCTGCTTGTGTTCCCTCTCTCACTGTGTCGCTCTCTGTCAAATAAATAAATCTTAAAAAAAAAAAGAGAAAACCAAAACCAAGACAGGTTGGGTGATTTTTCCCAGGATCACACAGCTGGCTGAAGACAGAATGCCAGACCCATAGCCCACTGATATCATACTGTCTGGCAGTGTGAACACTGAGGTAACCATTAGAAGCTTTTGAGTCAGCAAATCTTAATCTAATAATGCATCCTTTCTCTGTAATAAGAGAATCACCACTAGAACCCTCCTAGTAATTATACACTCATTTTACTGAGATAAAAACTAAGCTCTTAAGTTAATACCATCAGGTCACAAGTCAGATCTTGATCTTCATTTTGTGCTTCAATTTAGCCATGTAAAACGATTCTCAATGAGCTCCATCTAGCCTCTTCTTAACGTGAACTAGTTCCCCCAGGCTGCAGCAGGCTGAGGGGGAAGGTATCATCACATGATAGGGATATGCGTTCTAGCTGGGCATCAATATAGTATCAGCAAAGGTTAAGACTGCCTGAAAATAGGCCCAAATGGCTTTATAGATAATTTGCATCAAACTATCAAGGAACTCGTAATTTCTGTGCTGTGTGTTTTAGAATATGCGATGCATGTTTTAGAATATGAGAAAAAAAATGCTTCCATCTCATTCTGTAAGGATACAATTAATGTCTTTATACAACTGGACAAGGAAAGCACACACACATAAAAGCAGGGGTGGATGGGAAGAAAACTATATGCCAATCTCACTAATAGAGGCCAAGATCCTAAGTAAAATAAAAGCAAATCAAGAAACACTTGGCCTCTTTTTTGTTTTGTTCTCTTTTGATAGGGTCTTTCCTATGGGTGCACAATTCAAATAAACTGGGGCATATGAAAAAAGAGAGAGAACAGGACATATTGAACAAGCTACAGAATCTGGAATTTAGACGATCTGACATTAGGAAAATAAAGTAATTGATCATTTAACTGATTCAGAAGAAAAGTTTATGCTCACTCATCTGATTCCAAAAGAGCAATGAACAAAATTCAACACCTTATTTATCAGGAAAAATGAAAAGAATAACGATGATTGTAGCAAACTAGAAACATACCTGACACTTGCCTAACTGGAGGATTTACATTATCAAACAATTACATAAAACTAATATGAGAACAGATGGGTCATGGGGACAAAAAAGGCCCAAGTGTGTGCAGCCATTGAGAATATGAACCTTAGAGCTATGAAGGGAAAGATTTGAAGATTTTGTTATATATAAATTTTTAATGTATGAAACAAATGTCCTTAATACTTCAATAGAAAGAAAAAAAAGAAGAAGAAAAGCAGGTGACTGGAGTAAAGGATACACAACTTGTATAATAAAAGATTAACATCTGAATGTATAAAGCTGCTATAAATTAAAGTAGAGACAGAATATGATGAGCCATTCATAAATGACATACAATCTTGTAAGTAATCAGGAAAATACACATTTACACAATTCCATTGAGATGCCTGGGTGGCTCAGTCAGCGTATGCCTTCGGCACAGGTCATGATCCCAGGGTCCTGGGATTGAGCCCTGTGTTGGGCTCCCCGATCAGCGGGGAGCCTGCTTCTCTCCTTCTGCCTACCGCTCCCCCTGCTGGTGCTTGCTCTCTCTCTCTGACAAATAAATAAAATCTTAAAAAAAAATAAACAATTTCATTTTTCACTCATCAAATTAATAAAATTTAAAACACTGATTTCCATAGCTGACAAAGACATGTGAAAACAGGGTATTATCACTGCTATGGCTTGAACTGTAAGCTGCCAGAGGCTCTGAAGGGCAATTAGCCAGCAGTCAGACAGATATCAGACACATGTGCCCTCCACTTACTGGTCTCTGGACTGCAGAAATCGCCCAGAGGCACACAAAACTCAGGAACAAGGGTGTTCACTGAAACACTACTTTCTGTATCAAAAAGAAAACAGCCCAACTCTCTAACAGAAGATGGTGAAATATCCTTTCATACATCCACCCAGCAAAACACGAGGCAGCTACTGACAAGAAGATAAGTCTCTATGTAACCCATGGGGAAACATGTCACAACATCCGTTGTAAACAAAGGCTAATTACAAAAAGTCCACATTCTTTGATTCCATTTTTGTCAAAAAAAAAAAGTAAAATAAAATAATGTACTTTGTACAGGAAGAAAGATCTAGAAGAATGCATATTGAGCTATTAATAGTGGATATCATCTCTGGGAGTAGTACCACGGGAAATTTTCACTTTCTAAATTACAATATTTCTGTAGTGTTTGAATTATTTAAGCACAATCACTCTTCTAGTTGAAAAAAATAAGGAAAAAAAATAAAAGAAAGAAAAACACCTCCACTTTTCTAAAAAAAGGCAGGGAGGGCTAACTATGATCCCAATGAATGCCAGGTAACAATCTCTGCAGTACTTTCCTCTAAAGAGGAGGAGGCAGAAGATGGTCTGGAACAGTTGGGAGCCCGCCCCCCAGTTCCCACGCAGGACTGGGGTGGTGGGAGTGACGGGAACAGGGCCAGGCCTTCAGTCACAGCAGTCCCCACGAGGAAGGCCGTGGCTGCAACAGTGCACAGTGCAGGAAAGCACACGCCACACTGGACTCCCAACTATTTTTTTCTTTCACCTCTGAACTCTGAGTGGCTCTCAGACCAACATTTAAGATTAGAAACATTTTACGTGAAGAGCTCACAATGGAAATCAGATCGACTACAAGGAACTGCTGGTGGCTTCGTGGGTAAGAGCTACAGAAACCTAGTGTGTCCTAAAAAGATGGCACTGAATGCCAAGAGCTGGAATGGCACAATGCTGGAAAGCTGGTCAAAGAAAGGGTGTTAATCAACTTGCTGGCCTCTACCACAACCTCTGACTGATGGAGCCGAGAAGGGGAAGAGAAAACGAATGGAGAGAGAACGCCAACAAAACTTAAAACACCGAGGACGCTACACACGCAAACACAGTTACGCATTTAATCCTCCGGACAACCCAGGGAGTGCTAGGGAAGAGGAAACTCAAAGAGGTCCATGACTTGCTCAAAGTTACAAAGCCCCAGGTCTGGATTTGAATGCGGTCTGCCTGAAGTCCAGGGCACTGGCAGCTCCTGCAATCAGCCAGTGGGCCGGCCCCAAACTGCCCAATATCGGAGCCTATGTCCTCAGTTTTCCCAGGTGGACTCACCTGTGAGCTGGACGGCAGAGCCTGGGAGCTGGACTCCTCTGACGGGGCTGCTCCCGAGCCCATGGGGCTCAGTGTAGTGATTCGGCTCGGTTGGCCACGCAGTGTCAGAGTAATGGTAGTAGGGACCTTCAAGCCTGACAGAGAGAGGGGGAAGGAGGGTTGTTTGTCACAGCCTCCACCTTCTCCTCCCGGAGAGTTTCTTCACATCACACACCACCCCCTCGGCCGCCCACCTCAGTATCCTCCCCAGCTGTGTCAGCTCCACCCTATCAGTCATTCTAAAAGAAACAGGAAACAGCTGTGTTCTTCCGACCTCTCTGGGGGATGGACCCACACAGCTGAATCCTTGAGGGTCAATACCAGGACCGTGGGCGCCTGGGTGGCTCAGATGGTTGAGCATCTGCCTTCGGCTCAGGTCGTGATCCCAGGGTCCTGGGGTCGAGTCCCGCATCGGGCTCCCTGCTGGGTGGGGAGCCTGCTTCTCCCTCTGCCTCTGCCTCTCTCTCTCTCTGACTCTCATGAATAAATAAATAAAATATTAAAAAAAAAAAAAATACCAGGACCCTGTTGAGTTGGGTTCAACAACAAGCCTTGCCCATGTGAGATGGGAAGGTCCTAGGGAAAGATCCCATATCCAAGAGTCCCCACAGCTGTCATGAGAGACTCACCTGATGCTTGGTTAGAGATCTGAGCCAGGCCAGGGAGGCTGCTTGCCAACTTAGCGAGGCCCCCATTGGTCAGCAGCTGGTGGATGGCTGTGGGCTTCCCACCAGGAGTGGCACCCAAGGAGGAGAGACTGGTGGCCACAGGAATGGTACGGACAATGGTGCTGGTGCCCGTGGTGATGGCACCCAGGCTCTGCATGGGGGTGGGCAACTTCACACTGGTAGCCTGTGGGACACACAAGCTCGGGTGATCAGAAGCTATTGCCCAACAGCAAGCAAAGTTCAAGTGTGAAGGGCCCAGAGCATTAAAGGCTACCATGTACTGCACACCTACTACATGCAAGGTACTCTTCCACGCATTTTCCATATACTATCTTATTTAATACTCAAAACAACCCTTTGAGAGAAATACTATCATTATCCTAATTTTACAGACAAGGAAACAAAGAGAGAGAGAGGTCAACAAACTTGTCCAAGGTCACACAGTAAGTCATGGAGCCTTAACCTTTGGTAGCTCCCAGGCGTGACGTCAGAAAGCTGTCTGTCTTGACCCAGACCCCAGACCCAGTTGCCCTGCCAAAACCAACTAAACTGAGGCCTCCTCCCCACAGCTGCCCAGCCCCGTGGACGGCAGATGTGCACCTGTGGGGCTGGCCCTGGGGAAGGATTTGCTGGGAGGCCAGAGGTCTTGCTGCTGATATCCTGCAAGCTGAAGCTGAGGCCTTGAAGGAGGCTGCTGGCTGGTGTGGCCCCTAGGAGAGGGCAGAACAGATGTCAGCACAGGCTCAGTTCCTTCTCCCAAGAGAAGCCACACCCATCCACCCTCAACAACCAGCTAAAATACCAATGCTCTTTCCCTGGGACATTCCCAGTGCTCTCGGGAAGATGCCAGGAAGGGCTCCCTGGGCACGCACACTGCATGCCCACACGAGGAAAGGTACTATGCTAGACACTCTGCCTTGGATTTGCTCCGCATATCTCAACCTGCTCCAAACCACCTATCTTACTTTTTGGACAGTTTTAGGAAAACCAAAGAGAGCCTGAACCCCACCCACTTTTCAGAAATCTAAATTCCATCCTTTCCAGAGAAAAGGACAGCTTCTTAAGCCAAAAGAATTCCAAGTACCTGATTTACATTTCACTACACACAGTCGAGCAGCCACAAAGCAAAGAGGGAGGTCCTCCTGAAGGAGGACACCTGCAGAGCCTTCCCGGCTGGGCTCAGGCAACCAGCCTTCCCATGCAGGGTGGGGTGGCCAAAGTGAAGAAACAAGCAGAGGCAGAAAGGTGCCTCATTTTGTTAATGCTAGTACAGTACAATCTCCAGTTTTCTGCAATCAGATGTGTTCAAAAACACCACAATGAACACAATACACACATCTCCCACCAGCTATTTCTCCTCCTTACAGTACAAGAGATACTACCTGCAGACTGGGATATTTACTCACTGTAGATATTGAGACCAAGAACTCCCCCACCTCAAAGCTAATTCCAGCTTCACATCAAGCCTCTATGAAAGCCCGCAACTCAGAGGAGCACCCTCCAGATACAGCTGCTTTCCCAGGACCACCCTCCAGCAGCAGCCCAAAAGAGACTTTGCTGGGTGGCAGGGAATGCTGGGCTACCAGATACCTGGGAGGGAGCTGCCAGGAGAGGTGGCCACCAGACGGCTCTGGAGTGTGTGCAAGGCACTGGGTGTGGTGCTGCTGGACACTGAGGAGGCTGGGCTGGCTGAGACACCCCCTTCAGAAGCACTCGACCTGGAGACAAAGACAGGAGCTCTATTATCCAAAGGTCAGAGGGCAGCAGACCCTGGCAACACAGGGAGGGTCCGCAGTGGGGCCCAGCAATGCTTCCAGCAGTGGACACTAGAACCTAGAATTTCTTTGTCCTATGTTCTGAATCTGGCCTCTAATCCTTCTCAAAGTCAGGCCTAAAGTAAAGACTTCAAACCTTGAAGCAAGAGCTACGAGATGCTTTGCAAACTTTAAGTAAAAAAGAACTCTGAGTTGACCGCCCCCCTCCCCAAAAAAGATCCCACTCAGAAAGAAGTCATATTCCCAAAACTGAAAGAATACTCTACCAGGTTTCCAAAGCGCTAAATGGACCAGAGAAAAGGTGAAGACAAAGAAAGGAACAGAACCAGAAAGGCCAAGAAATAGACTCACTTGGTAGTGGTGAGAAGCCCTGTGAGCTCCTTGGCCCCTGCTGAAGCCTGCCCCAGTGTCATGGTGATGGGCTTCCCTCCCGCAGCTGCAAAACAGAAAACCCCAAGGCCACCGGTCAGTCCTGCCTGGCCCCTACTTTTCAGGGTTTCACAGCCCAGGCTAAATGCAAAATATTATGGACAAAGACTGGAAGAAGAAGAAAAACAAAGAGTACGTAGAGTAGAGAGTTATTTTTTTCTTCTATTTTTTAAACTTCCTGAAATATTTTATCATTTTTTTAATCTTATTTTTAAGTAATCTTTATATCCAACGTGGGGCTAATAACACTCACAACCCTGAGATCAAGAGTCATGCTCTACTAACTGAGCCAGCCAGGCATCCCTGGAATATTTTCTTATCTTTAATTGAAACTGATAAAGAACAAAATATAATGATGCTTTGAGTGACCCCACAGCTCCCTCTGATCCTCGTTCTGCTTCCCCTGATCCTAGTTCAGATCAGGTCACTGCCCACTTTTGCCCCATGTGCTACCGTGTGTGTCCTCCTTGCTCCAGGCACACCTTGCATTAAAGTAGAGGCTGAGCTGTATAGCAAGTAGTCACCAAGAGAGCAATGTTATGTGGTCTGAGAGAGCTCAGTTTTTACTTAAATAGGCCAAGAAAAACTCACCTTCTGGAGCTCCTCCTTGGGAAGGAGGACAAGGCCCTCCAGCTGGGTCCCCTTGGGAGATAAGGGAGACCTTAATCTTCGGTCGCTTGGAGGTCTTACTGCCAGGAAGAGGACTGGAGGGATGGTGGCGCTTCAGCTGGACCCTAAGATCCTCTTTCTCTGCCTCCTCCGTTTGATCTGATGAAATGGGAACTAAGAGATGGAGCTGAAATAAGGTCTTCCATAATCCAAAAAAGCCCGAGAGACACTGACAGCAGCAGCACGGGCATGACTGTGTGTCACACACAAAGTCACACTTCAAAGGCAACTGCCAATGCTTCAGTCCCATCTCACTCAGGTCCCACCTGCGGCAGAAGGCCACCCTGCCCGCTCAGAGGATGGGTCCATCCCCAGCCCTTACCCTGTTCTGGAGTTAGAAGGAAGGGGGCTCTGAGTCGGTGGGAACAAAAAGAAAGAAGACACCCTGACCCTGCCTAGCAAAGGCCAACCAAAAAAACAGAGGACTCACTACAATACATCTAAGCAATGCTTCCTGGACTCAGTGTCTTAATTTTCCTGTTTCAGGCCCACCCCCGTATCACACAGCTGGGGAACAGTAAACATTCCACAAAGAAGCAGTAAAGGAGCATACTACCCAGTCCTCTCGAAAGGGGAGAATTTCACAAGGCTCTCAGAGTCCTCCTCTGTCCTAAGAGACCAAAGGTGACGGTTTGCTGGCCAAATGAAGGCAACAAGAAGGATTATTGCCAGGAATCGAGGCTGGCTTTGAGCAGCTACTAGGCAGGGGAGCATCTTAGCCAAGACAACTTTACTGCTCCTGCCCAAAAGCAACAGGGCAACAGTGGCCCATGTCATAACTAGTCCCCAGGTCATTTGTACTAGTACAGAGAAAGGCCAACTGTTCACACATGGGATTCCCCCCTCCGCTGAATCAAACAGACTCGTCCTGCACATGGCCAAGCCTCTTGGACTCTGAAGTTATCCTTCAGGCTTTCTCAGAGATTCCCTTCTCTTTAAAACCAGAAGCCCACCCCAGGCCCTCTTCTTAGCATAGGCAATCAGGGGTAGGATGGGGAGGAAAGCAGTAGTCATATGAGGAAGGCAGGCAGGAATGGGGGTCCTGGCCTGGGTCACAGGGCATAACCAGCTGGAAGGATCGCTTAGGGGATAAATGCACTGACTAAAATCAGAATAGGAAGGAGGGTGAAAGAGAAAGGAGCCACAGGTTTTATGCTGACAGTGGCTGGTGTGCTTGTAGCGCCCAGGATGGAAGCAGGAAACCAGAGGCAGGGAGAAAAACACACAAGGAAACTGAGGTTCACAGGCAATGGGACACAGGCACACATAGCAGAAGCAGAGCCAAGAACCACAAGAGACCAAAAAGGAAAAACCATGAGACGCAAACAAAGTATGGAGAAAAAGCAAATACTATGGAGGAGTAAGCAAAAGGAGTCAGCCAAGAAAGGAATCAGAAGACAGAAAAAGGAAGAGAGAAAAGAACAGGAGGAAACCAGAGACAAATGAGAGGAAGGACTGGGAAGAAAACAAGGGAGAAGTGGAGAGAAGCAGAGAGCAGAGCGTGAAAAGGTGAGAGGAAGAGCAATACTCACCAAAGAGACAGGAGGAGGTGCCGGGAGGAAGAGCTTTCCTCACCAGCATATTTTGTTTCAGAAAAGCAGCAAACTGTGCTGGAATGAATCAGAAAATTACAGAATCACAGCCAGCCAGAGAAAGGAGAAAAGGAGAGGGAGTAAGAAAAAGATACGAAAATGTTCTAGAAAATGGTCAACAAGGGCTTTTTTCAGATTTACTGCATGGGTTTAAACCTAACTCCTAGCAGCTCCATGGAATCATCTATAAACTGAAAATAATAAATGTACCTGCCTCATGGGGCCGTTGCCAAGATTCAGTGAGCAACAGCAAGTCAAGTGCTAGGAAAACGGCATGACACGTAGTCATGGCTCCATAAAAGTTATCTATGACTATCACCTCTTGCCTATGACCCCTGCCAAAGCCAGGGCGCTATGGCCGCTGTTTGGCGCCATGGTATTCTGGGCCCCATTTCAAACCCAGATCACCAATCAGCCTTCCAGAACTCCTTAGGTTCTCCCCTCCAGAAGCACAGCCGACCACTGGCTCTCTCTCCATCAAAAGCCTAAGTGAACACCACCCACCCAGAACTTGGCGCATGACACCACTTAAGAAGTCAGGTCACAGACCATCCACGTGGACCCTAGGGGCCTGGCTTTTTTTTTTTTGGTCTTTTTTTGTCTTTTTGCCTTCACCGATCCACTCAAACGTGCTCCTTGTTAGCACCACTCTTGAGGGCACCCTCATAAGAGGCCTGGATTGAAGTCCTGACCCTTTGGCTCCACTAAAAGAAACACAAGGGAAGTGAGCAGATCAGCCTATGTCACCTCTGAGTCTCTCTACTTGACAATCAACTCTGGTGCTGCCTCCTCCCAGGTACCTGAGACTTCAGATGATACATGTTCCTGGATACCTCATCAAACACAAGGCCCAAGAGGCCTTACCTTGGGGCTGCCTAACCGGATCAAAGTGGGGGCAAGGGGAAAAGCCACCATTTCTTTTCTCCTTGCCCAAAACACTGTCCCTTTTCTACAGCTTCAGTAGCACTCACTGTTCTCCAGACTCTAATCTCAACCATACAAACATTTCCCAGCCTAATCTAAAGCCTATCTGCAGAAACCCCGATAAACTTCCCTGAAAGTCCCAGTGTGGGAATCTTAACTCTTTAAGGGCAAAACAAAGAAAGGGCATGATACCAGCTGCACTGCCCTGGAATTTGAGGAATAAAGCTAATCACCCTGTCCACATGGTCTGAAGAGCGCCTGGACTGCGCGAGTGGCTGGGCAGGGCCTAGAACAGAGCAAGTAGCTTCCCCAGTTGGGAGTCAGAAAAAATTCTGAGGCAAATACACACGTAGTCAGCTCATAAAGCCTAACTTCCCCAGAACACCAAAGCAAAGCTATAATTAGTGGAACTATACAGCTCCACTAACGCACAGACCTTCTGTGATGTCTTACCCTTGAAAATAATCCTTGGTATTCATTTCAACCTAATTTTGTTCGGACAGAAATGTGGGAAAGGGTGCCTCTCACATGCCCCTGGAAAAAGCTGCAGATGCCAATACTTTTCAAATGCCACATGACATCACTCCAGAAGATAAACCAAGAGGCCCCTGGGCCAAGAAGCCTCTACCTTGGGCTTGTTTGTGGGTCAGCACAGCTTCCGTGCGCTGCACATGTCTCTTCAGGAGCTGAGAGCTCGCCATCTGACTGGACTTCTGGGCAGAGGTCACTGTAGTCACTTTGGTCTTAGGACTGGAGGTGGGGCTGCTAGACACACTGGAAAGATCCTGAGTAGGGCGAGAAGGATAAGAGCTGAGCCAGCTGTTTGGATCTGACCACCAATTATCATGTCCCCTTGGAATTCCCTGCTCAGGAATTCTCCTCCTAGGAACTCAAAGGTCCACAGCACTGGCAAGACAGACAAGCACCCCCAGGAAGTGAAGGAACCAACTCCACAGTCCTACTTCCCCGGCAAAGTGCTCCCTCCCTTCCCGTGTTACCTCTGAGCCTGAGGGTGAGGCAGGCAGCTTGGCAGCTGGTGAGGCAGGCCGACTGCCCCGCTCGGGCACCTCAAAGGCCAGGTCTCTTCGGGCTGCGTCCCGAGGCTTCTTCTTCTTCTCAGCATCCTGATCCCGAGGCTCAGAGCCCATGTGCCCCTCAGCGCGAGTGAGCACTCCAGTCAGAAAGTCCACGATCTCATCCTAGTGTGAAGAGGGGCCCGGGCCACTGAGTCTTCAGTCTAGGGAACAGGAACCTCCCCAAAACGCTCAACTCCATTCAATTAACGCCAGCTCTGGCATCGGGTGTGCTGGTCCCTCTCCATGCACACCGAGCCAGGCACAAACCCCAGCCTCAGCCAAAGACCAGCAGGAGCCTGCTCCCCGATACCTCTGGTGGGCTGGCACTCTGGGGTGGTCGTGCCCCCCACTCCTCCAATAAACCCCTTCTCCCCTGATGCTCCATACACATTTCTACTTCTTCCCCTCTGTCTTTCCCCTTTTCTTTATGATTTAGTTCTACGAGAGGCCCCACTGGATACTCCCTCACACTTCAGAGCCAAAGACACTGCTGCCAACAAGATCAAGCCTAAAAGGTTATAGAAAGGCAAGCCTCGCTGAGAAAAACACATAAAGCAACGGTGTACCTGAATACATCTGTCCACCATGCTCTGAGTCAGCCCCTCTGATTTCTTCTTTGCTTTGCTTATTCTAAGAGACGGAGAGGAGGAAATGTTTACTTTAAACATTCCATGGCATAATATGGATTTCTCTTCTGTGTTGGCTATTTTCTGGGCCCAGGAAGGAGGACTACGTTAGCCCTCAGGCAGGTATCCCCACCTCTCTGAACATCATGTTCCACATCTGCAAAATGGGGAATCGTAACACCTCGCTCATGGACTTGTGGGGATTACAAAAATCTAATGTAGAGAACCAGAGAACATATGAAAATTGCCTAGGACTGTACACTCCAAAAGTCCTATACCTATGGCTTCCCAGATAAACTCTGACTTCTAAGACCTCAACCTCTAGAAGTCCCCCAACAAAGGCCCAAACCCTGAGATTACTGGACGCTACAGAAATGAGATTAGTAGAAGAGGAAAGGTGGTCGCAGGTTACTTCTAAAAGGATAAGAGAAAATGGCCACAGGGATGCCTGGGTGCATCTGCCTTCGGCTCAGGTCATGATCCCAGGGTCCCAGGATCGAGTTCCACATCGGGCTCCCTACTCAGTGGGGAGCCTGCTTCTCCTTCTGCCTGCTCTACCTGCCGCTCCCCCTGCTTGTGCTCTCTCTGACAAATAAGCAAAATCATTAAAAAAAGAAAAAAAAAAAGAAGAAGAAGAAGAAAATGGCCACAGATGGCTACATTCCCTTCTTTGGAAGCTAGTTTTAATACCTCTGGCTTCTGGCTGAGGGTCTCAGCAAAGAGGAAAAACAGGGCCCCAAGTGACAAGGTGGAGAACAACATTCTGAGCTTCCAAATTCTGAGACCCCAATTTACTGGCTGTTGGCCTCTGACCTTGTGTAGCACCCTCATCTTACAGATGAGGACAGCAAGTCCCAGGAGTTAAGCAGTTTACCCAAGTTTCTTAGCAAAGCAACCAAGACTAAATTGAGGTCTCCCGATTCGCAGGCCGACACTCAAGCACCTTGCAAACATGTCTCATAAGCAGCCTCACAACATAACTCCCACTAAAGTGTTCCTACCTCTCCTGTTCCCTCACTGCCACTCAACATACACACACATATCCACACACACACACGCTACCCTCCTATAGATAAGAATGTCTGAATAGCCAACAAAGACAATGTATTTACAAGAAAATATTGCCTTGAGCACCAAAGGATTAGATTCTAGACCCACAAGAAACAGTGAAATGACAAAGACCAGAAGGACCTCTCTAAAACATCCCTCGGTAAGAAACTGACAAGACAGGTGGGAGCAGGTACTTGCTTTAAGCTCACTAGCTAAAGCACACAAATGAAATTAATCTCTAAAATTGAACATATAAAAAAAGGAAGCCCAACAAATGACACACCTCTTTTTCAGTACATTTTCATGAAAGCATTTTTAAAGGCCCTACAGGAAACCAGTCTTTAAGGGACTAGTGACCATCTCAATGACCTAAGTGCTCCTTCCAAACTCCAGCTGTTTTTACTCCAAAATATATAAAAGAATGTTTAATACAAATAAAATCTACGTTCATGTACATCCTCAGTAAGGAACAAAATATAAAGAAATGCCTACCCCACCCCATTGAAAGCACCAAAACTGCATTCACCGAGTCTCAAAGTATCTCCTTCCCACTGGGTAACTACTAATCACAAAGGGAAATAGAGTAACTTGACAGTGGAGAAACTGGGAAGATGCCACCTTCACCACGTGATCAAGGTTAACATCACCAGTGATAAGACACATCAACATCATGTATCCCCAGGAAGGATGCGCTGAGGGCTTATCATCTCTGGCATTCCTGCCAAAAATTCATATGCTCAACCTAATCACAAAAAATGTCAAAAACCTAAATTGAGGGACAGCCTACAAAATAACCGGCCAGAAGTCTTCAAAATGTCAAGGTCATGGAAGACTAAGGAATAGTATCAAACTCAAGGAGACTGAGGAGACAAGGCAACTAATAACAACATGTGATCCTGGATTGGATACCGGACAGGAAAAGGACATTAGTGAGCCAACTGACAATATCTGCATCTGTAGATTAGATAATAGCATCATAAAATACTTCCTCATTTTGGTAATTATACTCTGGTTATTTAAGATGTTAACATTTGGGAAATCTGAGTTAAGGGTATATAAGAATTTTTTATACTATTTTTGCAACTTTTTATAAATCTGAATTAGTTTAAAATGTAAAATGGCTCCCCCCTTCACGGAAGCAGATTTAGTCTGTAGTTACATCACCACCTCACAGGCATCTCTCCAACACTGCAACATGGCTCTCTCACAGCTCTGGGGGAAGCCACATACCTGAGATTATCGTCAGCTCCCCCAACCACCACCAAGCTGTTCTCAGCCCGAATCTTCTCCCGGAAATCTTCCATGGCTTCGGGATGACACTGCAAGGAATTCTGCCCAATGACAAAGAGGACTGGAGTCTTCATATCCAAGAGGGGATCATCCACATCCTAAAACATGTACAGGTTTTACAATCAGCCAGTTCCTATTCACTGAGCACTGACCTGTCAAGTCCGCTGAGGGGAGTCAGCTGGGCAACTGTAGTCGCTAAGTGCCGGTTTGGGTGACGCACGCACCCCCTTATTCTCACCAGCCAGTGACCCAGCAATCAGCTGCATCCCATGCTTACCCCTCTGGGACCATCCACGGTAAGTAAAGGAAACCCAAGGCAGACAACTGCAGTGACGTACTCCATCACTGACACCTGGAAATAATACAATAGTTTGTCTCAAGGTCAACTGACTTTACTGCAGCTACACCCTACCCAGAGTCGAGAGGTGGTCCAGATCTACCAGCCAGTCCCATCTCTTCCTCCCCAGTCCTAATCCCCAGGAGTACCAGCCATAGTGGCAGCAGTAAGATCACAAGACACAAGATCCCAGGACCCAAGATGGAGCCCTGTGAGAACCGCAGCAGGGGGCTGCACCGCAGCATGAGAAGCTCAATGCTTCCATCCTATTAATTCCCTAGACTTGAGTCCTCCTATTCACTTTTTCCTCCACTAATAGCAAATGCAATCAGGAGGACACAAATGTTGCTCTTCTTCCTTAAGCAAAGAAAAATCTCTCCCTTTTGAATCTAATGGTTAGCTCCCAGACACTCCAAATTTGTTAGAGCAGCTGCTGACTGAATTCTCTCATTCCCAGGACCAGGGAGTGTGGGGAGACCGCCTCCTTCCTCTAGTGGCCCTAGATGTCATACTTGACCAGACCACATGAAGCAGCAGGGACTCCACTTATTTGACCCACTTGAGAACTGGGGCTTTGGACAGGTCAGGGACACTTATACAAACTAATGTACGTACAAATGTATGTAAAATAATAAAAAACAGAATTCCTTGATGTCTTAGAAAGGGACAGAATATAGACACAACATCAAATTCCAAAGCTACTAAAATTTATGCCTGCTTTTTTAAGGTGGGAGAAGAGTACTTATGTTTGGGGGTGGGGGAGGAATTTTTTTCAGAAATACACACTGAAATATATATATATATAACATAGATGATATTTGGGATTTTCTTCAAAATAACTGGAGGACAGAGAAAGTGGGCAGGGGTAAGATGAAAAAAGTCTGGCCATGAGTTAATCACTGGTGAAGCTGGGTGAAAGGCCCATAGAATTTATTATAGGTCTGTTCGCCCTTTAAGTTTCTGTTTAAAATTTCCACAATAAAGTTAAAAAATAAAGTTAGTCTTCCACACCTTAAAATGCATATATGTATGGAGATCGTCTAGCACAGTGTCTAGAACATAAAAAAGGACTCAATGGTAGCAATCATCAGTAAAAGCATCAGTATTCTATCCCAAGACAGCCTCCAAATGAGATGGGAATTACTTACGTGACAGGCCACCAGAGCTCCTGTATTCCAGCCAATCAAGATAATGGGTTTGTGGGGGAAATGGCTGTGAATCTTTGTTGGAAGAGAAAGAAGACAGTAAAACAGGAGGCCACAGCCAGGTGCAAAACAAGCCCAGCATGCTGTTTGTTTTCATGTTTCAATGACCTGAAACAAGGGCATTCTCACCTCCAGCACTTTGCTTCTCACTGCCCCAATCATATGCTCAAGACACTGCAGAACTCCTACCCCACTACCATTGTTCAGCAGATGGGTGGCTACGGGGATGACCTAAAGGAAAGAAAGTAGCAGCCATGCCAGCAGAGATTAAGTTTCAAATCTTCTCTCAATTCTGCTTAACCTGCCCTAAATCCCTTCAACCTTGGAGAAGCACCATTCGAATTAAAAACAAAAAGAGTGTGAGTGGGGGATGCTCAACACTTAAGTCCATCTATTTTGACTCCCTCCCACATTCTGTGTGCTCAGTCTTCCAAGACTCTATTCCAACCCAGGAGACAGTTCCTCTTATTCCCACACATACCTTGCCTAAGCAGGAGAGCTGAGACTGCCAGAAGCGGTGGCGGCGTGAGGTGGGGAACACGGAGCTAGAAGGCCCAGAGGAGGCAATGAGAATGAGAGGAGAGCCGGGGAGCTTGCTCTAAGGAGAAAGAACCCCAACAGAGAACCAGTGAGGGTGAGGTGGTACTCCACAAAATCTCAAGTATCCCAATACCTTTCTTACCTCAACCAATGCCAATTTCCTTATGAAACTCTGCTAAGCACTATACACAACCAGTTATTAATGAAAAGTTAAGGCATTTATTATCTTCTTGCTAAGGTTCTGAGACTGGATTCTAAAAATTTTGTGGGTCATAGTTAAGTCTTGAGCTGCTCTGACTTACTGGTTTGTTATGAGAAAGTACCCCCACAGCAGGATCCCAGGGCCTCTTCAGCAGGAGGGACAAGGCCTCAGCTCCTGCAGCCCCAGTCTTCGTATTAGATGACACAAGCATCCGGTCAATCAAAGTAGGGATCTAGAAGTAAAAGCAAAAATGTTTCCAGTCCCAAGCAGGAGACCTGCCCGCTAGCAGGAATCAGGTGGGAAATAAGAGAGTGATTAAGCAAATTATCCACAAAACTAGATATTAAAGGTTAATTAAAATACTTCAAAGAATTTGTAATAAGGAAATTACTTTGCTAAAATGTTAAAGAAAAAATAGAAAACATAAAAAATTACCTCTACTCCGAAAAAATGCTATTAGAAAATATGTCAAAATATTAATAGTTATCTTTATGGAGTTATGGACAGCTTTTTCCTTTTTATTTATTTATTTAATTTTTTTTAAGATTTTATTTATTTATGACAGAGAGAGACACAGCAAGAGAGGGAACAGCAGGCTTCCCGCCAAGCAGGGAGCCCAACAAGGGGCTCGATCCCAGGGCCCTGGGATCATGACCTGAACCGAAGGCAGACGCTTAACGACTGAGCCACCCAGGCACTCCCAGTTTTTTCCATTTTAGATTTCTGTATTTTCTAAACTTCCTCAATGAACATCAGTTGACGTTATAAATTTAAAAAAAAAAAAAAAAAAATCTGCATTTTCTTCTAGAGTATTGCCTTCAAGCTTTGGCATGTTAAAGAAATCATTACCGTGCCCAAAATAATATATCCTATGTATTGTGTATATTGTGACTTATACCATATCCTATTTTTCATTATTCACCAGAAAATGTGACCTCACAGATGTGTTAAGTATAGGTTTCTGACATGCTGATGCTTACACTGAGAATAAATATCTCTGTGAAAAAAAAGAAAGAAATATCGCTGTGAATTCGTGAATTCCACATTACGCACAAAAGGTCAAAGTGACATAGGGGAAAGGAAAGATTTTTGAATGTTAAAGGTAGTCGTCAGAAAAAACAAAAACAGGGCACCTGGGTGGCTCAGTTGGTTAAGCATCTGCCTTCAGCTCAAGTTGTGATCCCAGGATCCTGGGATCAAGTCCCACATCGGGCTCCCTGCTCAGTGGGGAGTCTGCTTCTCCCTCTACCCTGCCCCCCTGTTTGTGATTTCTTTCTCTCTCTCTCTCTGTCTTTAAAACAAAACCATTCTGGAAAACCAGAGAATGAAAAGTACTATGGTGATGCAGGTTGTAAAAAGTCAGCCCACAGCTAACACCATACCCAACAGTGAAAAGCTAAGAGCTTTCACTCTAAGATCAGGAACAAGATAAGGATGCCCACTCTTACCACTTCTATTCAACATTGTATTACTATTAGTCCTAGCTAGAGCAATTAGACAAGAAAACTAAAAGGAATACAAATTAAAAAGGAAGAAGTAAAACTGTTTGCAGATGACATATTCTATTTACAAAACCATAAAGACCACCAAAAAGCTGTTAGAACTAATAAACAAGGGGTGCCCGGGTAACTCAGATGGTTAAGCATCTGCCTTTGGCTCAGGTCATGATCTCAGGTCCTGGGATAGAGCCCCACATCAGGCTCCTGGCTCAGTGGGGAATCTGTTTGTCCCTCTCCCTCTGCCTCTCCCCCTGGTCATGCTCTCTCTGCATCTTTCTGTCTCAAATGAATAAATAAAATATTTTTAAAATAATAAAAAAATAAAATAAAATAAAATGTCCAAACTACCCAAAGCAATCTGCAGACTCAATGCAATAGCTATCAAAATTTCAGTAGCATTTTCCACAGAAACAGAACAACCTAAAATTTGTATGGAACCACAAAAAACCCCGAATATCTAAAGCAATCAAGAGAAAGAACAAAGCTGGAGGCATCACGATGCTCCCTGATTTCAAGCTATATTACCAACCTAAGGTAATCAAAAGAGTATGACTGGGGCATAAAAACAGACACATAGATCAATAGAACAGCACAGAAAGCCCAGAAATAAAATCACAAACATATGGCATCCATGGTTAATTAACTTACAATAGAGGAGCCAAGAATATACAATGGGGAAATAAATGGTATTGGGAAAACTAAACAGTCACATGCAAAAGAATGAAACTGGACCACTACCTCATACCATACACAAAAATTAACTCAAAATGGGGTGCGTGGGTGGCTCAGATGGTTAAGCATCTGCCTTCGGCTCAGGTCATGATCTCCAGGTCCTGGGATGGAGCCCCACGGGCTCCCAGCTCAGGGGGGAGTCTGCTTCTCTCTCTGCCTCTCCCCCTGCTTGTGCGCTCTCTTGTCTCTCTCTCAAATGAATAAAATCTTAAAAAAAAAAATTAACTCAAAATGGATCAAAAATGTCAACATAAGACCTGAAACCATAAAATTCCTGTAAAACACACGCATTGGGGTGCCTGGGTGGCTCAGTCATTAAGCATCTGCCTTCGGCTCAGGTCATGATCCCAGGGTCCTGGGATCGAGCCCAGCATCGGGCTCCCTGCTC